TAAGCGATTTATTTTAATGTATTTTTTAGTGTCGTGACTTAACACTTTTGGTTAGCATAACTAGTGAGTTTTTGTGGGTTTGATATTGGATTTATAAAATTCATGGTTCTGTTTATATTTATATATACATTTGTGGAGATAAAACTTGAAGAAGTGGAATGGCGTTGATATCGTCGGTAGTCTGCTTTTTTTTTTGAAGGAGACAGTTTGTTCACACTTTGTTATCTCGTGTTGTCTTCAATAAAGGTCACTGTAATATCTTTCAGAGTTATTGTCTGAATCCCGATATACATGGTAAAAGGTACAACTTCCTTAAGTTTTGTCCATCAGTGTATTTTGTTAACACTTGGTTATCTCGTGTGTCTTCAATAAAGGTCACTGTAATAACTTTCAAAGTTATTGTCTGAATCCCGAAATACATGCTAAAAGGTACAACTTCCTTAAGTTTTGTCCATGAGTGTATTTTGTTCACACTTGGTTATCTCGTGTGTCTTCAATAAAGGTCACTGTAATATCTTTCAGAGTTATTGTCGGAATCCCGATATACATGGTAAAAGGTACAACTTCCTTAAGTTTTGTCCATGAGTGTATTTTGTTCACACTTGGTTATCTCGTGTATCTTCAATAAAGGTCACTGTAATATCTTTAAAGGTTATTGTCAGAATCCAGATATACATGCTAAAAGGTGCAACTTCCTAAAGTTTTGTCCATGAGTGTATTTTGTTCACACTTGGGTATCTCGTGTATCTTCAATAAAGGTCACTGTAATATCTTTAAAGGTTATTGTCAGAATCCCAATATACATGCTAAAAGGTACAACTTACTTAAGTTTTGTCCATGAGTGTATGTAAATATCGACCATATAGTAATAAATTTATTTAGAAACATTAGTGTATTTCTTAATTTTAGCGTAATTGTAAATATTAGGAGGGCCTGACTCATCAATTGAGATCACTATTAGATTACTTGACAGTCTTTTATTGATATGGCTAATTATAAACCTAAGAGTGGGTCAAGTTTTGGGATGGTAACAAGACAGCGAACTAAATGTACTTCTTAACAAAATCTCTCAGAGTTCTTCCACCTTTTAGCATGGCAAATGTTCTTGCGATTCCAAGCCGTCAAAACGTTATGTCACGGAAGATATCCCTACAATCATTAGTAAAAAATGAACCTGCCAGGATTCGAACGTAGGATCTTGTGAGCTGTGATTTGTTATCAGTTTCACTACACCAACTACGAACTAAATAAACCATGTACTCATATATATATATATATATATATATATATATATAAATTTAGCATCGAGTTGTATGTATCAAATGTAAAAAAATGTGTACTGATGAGAAATAGAAGAAGTAAACAATATACAAGTTTTATAAAATAAATGAAGCTTCCATGATTAAATAGTTGCACAAGAAACTTAATCCTGGAGAAGCTTCATTTATTTTATAAAACTTGTATATTGTTTACTTCTTCTATTTCTCATCAGTACACATTTATTTACATTTGATACGTACACGACTGGATGTTAAATTTATCTTTATATATATAAGTACACCTATCCCCCGATTTACACGGTAGATACGTTCCTGAGAAAAACATGTAAATCGGGGGATAGGTGTACACAGAAATAAAAATAAAATGCATTGACAGGTTAAAATATGTAGTCAGCACATAAGCTCGGGATTCTTCGTGAGATGTGTACACAGCGCATGTGTTCAATTACAGTAGCATTTAGTATAGTGCGATAAAAACAAAAAAAAACTTATTCGGAAAACCGTGTAAAAGCGAAAACGTGTAAAACAAGTACCGGTAAATCAGGGGATAGGTGTACATGGTTTATTTTATAGTTTCATTTATTTTATAATATTATAAATCAGAGAAGAGAGAGAACGTTTAATATACAAGGCGTATATAAGAAAAATACATAAGGTAGACAACAGACGTACACAACAAATAAACAAGAGGTAAACAACAATTAGGTAAGATATCCAGGTAGCACAGAGCAAGGGCAGCTACCACATGTTTTATACTTTCAAACGTAGTATTTAAATAGAAGTTATTAAAGGGCATCCACCCACTGTCATGGAACGTAGCACCTTTTTTAAAGTGCGATGCACCGTTTTATTTTAATTGCTATTTTATGAGGTGATTGTATAAAGTGGATTCTAAAATAGTCTTCAAAAGGTCTTTGAAAAAGAGAGAATTGAAAGCTTATAAAGGAAAAAAAAGGGTAATTGAATGACTTTCTAGCAATTGAATTGTTGGGGTGTTAGATATCTAGGAAGATTCGTTGAATGATACTTGGAAGAAAGACAATAATGGAAGACAACAATGGAGGATTGTATTTGGGAAAGCATGCTTGAATCACGTGAGAGACTTGCAGCTGCATGCATGCAAGCGGTGGAGGCTTTTCACTAGTTGAGCTGTGGTTAGCTTCGGTTTAGGAATATGCGAACCTCAGTGATACGCTAACCATGACGTATGCACAATGGAACGTGTGGCTATTGGACATGTGTCGGACCAGGAGGCTGTTGTTGGGTGCTGTGCTGCCTGGAGTATAGGAACTCCATCTATTATTTCTTCCTGTGGTGAATCTGTATAAGACTGATGGTCTTAATAAAGCTGTGTGTGTGAATATGCGAACCTCACTACATGTCGCAGATTTGCATTGTGTTGTGTGGTTAGAACTAGGGCGGTATCTGATCGCCTTCAAACCTCTAACTTTCGTTCTTGATTAACGAAAACATTCTTGGCAAATGCTTTCGCAGTAGTTCGTCTTGCAGCGGTCAAAGAATGAGTATTATGATGTTATGTGGATTTAGAATGTAACATTTGTTGTTTCGCTCTTCATTGGAGAATGAATTGGAAAATATAATTGTGACAGTTTTATAGGCCAATGTCCTCCTGGTAAAGTTTCCATATATATACATATGTGTATATATATATACAACAAAAATTTTGCGTGAGGATGATATTCATGTCTCTAAAAAGAAGCACCTCTCCCTGTTAATTATGTGAATAAGAACGATGCATTATAATACAATATAATGCGGCTTATGATTGTAGAACGAAAATTGAAATTATACCGCAAATGTTTCTTCTGAACGAAATATCGTAATTATTTTAAGAAGAAATAACGATTATTTCTAACCTTAGGGATGAAGTATGATAGAATGAATTGTGAAGAGTAATGATAAACGGAAAAATAAAAGTGTCCAGGGATGGGAATTCATCCTATCATACTTCATCCCTAAGGTTAGAAATAATCGCTATTTCTCCTTAAAATAATTGCGATATTTCGTTCAGAAGAAACATTTGCGGTATAATTTCAATTTTCGTTCTACAATGCATTATATGTTTATAAACTAATAAAAAACGTTCCTAGTGGTGCTAAAGAATGAGACACAACACCAGTTTATGCAAATTCAGATAACCTGTATACCATGGTTTCGAGCTATGGCCCATATCAATACAGGGAACTGTATACTGAAACCATGGTATTGTTTTTTATTTTCCAAAATTGGTGTTGCGACTCATTTTTTTTAATCATCACTTGTAAACTTTTTTACTAGGGTAATAAACATAATGCCTCGTTCTGATGCCTAATTGAAAGGGAGAGGTGCCTCTTTAGGTACATGAATATATATAAAGAGAGAGAGAAAGAGATTTTTGAATATACAAGAGTTGAATCCCAGGATAAGAGATTTTGATGATTATCCTCATCAAAATATTTACATACAAATATATACTATTGGTTCAAAAGATAAGTGTTTAAAAATTTAATTTACATATTTCCGATATGTTTTAGAACTTTTTAGAATCTCTTAAGTAATCTCTATAAAAAAAAGCTACGATTACATTTTTTATGATTTTATTTAGAAAAAAGAAGAAGATAAAAATGAGAAAGAAACCTGCGAGATTTATGATGGGAGAAAGACTTCTTTTTTTTTTTCTTGATGTACCTCCTCGTATAATGGGGCAGACGAAATGATAAGAATCTTCTGATCCGACATATTGGCAGTTTTTTTTTTTTTTCGAATGGCAAGAATTCCGTCTGAAACCGGATTTTTTGGTCCTCCTGTAAGATTAGAGGATCCCCCTTCACCTTCTTCTTCTAAATCCTTGATAATGATAAAAAATGATAATTGGGGGATAAAAATGTTGGAAATGGCGACGAAATTTAGCCTTATCAATATAAATTTTGGTCAAAAAAATTTTTTTTTTCTTTTCAAATCTATGAACGTAATTTTTGAAAAGCCTCTCTCTCTCTTTCGATTATTTATATAATTATAATGAAAAGGAATTTGTGGAAACGTTTAAATATTTGAGGCATAATTTTCTATGGTTATACACTCATAAACAAAACTTAATGAAGTTGTACCTTTTAGCATGTATATCGGGATTAAGACAATAACTCTGAAAGTTACTACAGTGACCTTTATTGAAGACACGAGATAACCAAGTGTGAGCAAAATTGCCTCTGTCTCCTTCAAAAAAAAAAATAATAATAGTAGTAGACCGTCGACATCAAAGACTTCCCACTTCTTTAAGTTTTTTCTATAAATGTAATATAAGGGTATAATGAATCAGTTGTGAACTTTCCAAAAGGTTTTTGTTATTCTCCATAAAAATAACGAAACCTTTGTGGAAAAATTCAAAAATGATTTGTTATTTTGAATTCAGAATGATTCTAGAAGTACATGGTTTATTGGCAGTAATCATTCCTAACGCGGTTTTGCCATTAATATAACATTTAAATACATTATAAATGACTGCGGCGTATGATTATAAAGCAATACTTAAAGCCTCCCCGCATAAGTTTCTTTTTTGTGAAAAATCACTATTAATTTCAAAGAGAAATACGTACTATTTCTAACTTTTTGGATGACGTATGAAAAGGTTGAATATATGAAGAGTAATGGTCTATATATGATTGGATGACGTATGAAAGGGTGAAAATATGAAGAGTAATGGCGAACGGAAAAATAAAAGTGTCCAGGGTAGCCTAATGGACATGGCACCTGCCCGGTAAGCAGAAGGTTGTGGGTTCCCGTCCCTGGACACTTTTATTTTTCCGTTCGCCATTACTCTTCATATTTTCACCCTTTTATACGTCATCCAATCATATATAGACCATTACTCTTCATATATTCAACCTTTTCATACGTCATCCAAAAAGTTAGAAATAGTACGTATTTCTCTTTGAAATTAATAGTGATTTTTCACAAAAAAGAAACTTATGCGGGGAGGCTTTAAGTATTGGTTTATAACATTTAAAGGCGATCACAAACTGGCGAAACAACGGAAGATTCGCCACTCATTGTGTAATGATTTTTAATAAAGAATAATCACTGGTTACTTATCTTAGCGCGGTTTCATCAAGTTAGAGGAAGATGAAGCTGGTTTCTTGTCCTACAAACACCTAACCTGGACGGATTGCGAAAATGAAATAATACAAAGCCTTTATTAAGACACCAGTCTTATATAGATTCACCTCTCTCATTGCCGACTTGCAACGTTATCCTCACAATGATCAATCACCATCATGTAGTGGAGGGGAAAACGATGAATACAAGTTCTTTTTCCTGTTTACTACTTTGTAAAAGTTATATAGGGACAGAACAACCATTTGAATTGATATGGAGATGGTTAAAATACTTTGTACTGAGGTAAGTTGGCTGTCGTTTACATTTAAGAAGAACATCTCTTTATTTCTAAATACTCATCATTTGAGGCAACACACACATACACCAGCTATGTTCTAAGGCCTTTATTTCATTTTTATAAAATATGTAGTTTATAGTACCCTAAAATAGAATTGATATGACCTTATTGTTAACTAAAAACGATATTTAAACATTTTATTATTCAATTTTCGGAAGAAGTGATTATCATTGGAGGCTAAATTTGCTGTTGGCTGGGTGTTAGAAGTTTGTGAGATGGTGTCATTGCAGTCATCGACATTGTTTGCAGGTCAATCTTGTTGAAAGATCAAGAGCAGCATACATAATGCACCTAACTTGTTGTTGAAGGTTTATGTAGAAAGTTAAGTACATGTTTGTATGAAACGCCATATTTCACCTGTTTATTCCTCTATGCTTCAATTACTGGTCTTAATTACCGTGAGCACAAATTCACCTTTTTGACCTCTTCTTGATAGCTCGTTTTTTCACACATAAAATCAGCTACCCAGATGTGAATGGTCTTTAAAGTATGGAAAATACTTACATAGAACTTTTGTCCAATTTTGCTTCGATCTGTGGTGGTATATCTTCCCAAAAATACAAATTGGATTTTGTGCTGCCTGGAGTATAAGAGCTCCATCTATGCTTCCTTCTTGCGGTGAATCTGTATAAGACCGGTGGACTTAATAAAGCTGTATGTGTCTGTGTGTATAAATCTTCCAAATAATAGAATTTGACTACCGCTTCTTTTTCCTTTCATTTCATTAGTTCCCAGACAATCTACACAAATCTCTCTTTGACAATGTATACAAATTCAACTACGCCACATAGCAATCTGAAAAGTTGCATATTACTATTTTAACTATTGATTTGCATAATATCAAGTTTTATTTTTGTGTATAATTACATTTTTTAAATTTCTCGTTTACCTTACAATCCTCTCTCGTAATTTATTTTAAAAAAACACTCTATATATATATAGAAAATTATTTAGGAATCGGCAAATTGGTTTTATCAGGGATTTTTTAAGGCTAATTCGAAGGAGACGTTCAATTAGCCGGTGTAATTAACGAGGGAGATAAGAGTGTTACTTATATAATTGTATAGGTTAATTAGGTAATTAGCAAGGTTGACACATAGCCTCTATACGTAGGATATAACAACCTGAGGTAAAATTGGCTTCGGTTTTTTTTACCCCTTTTATATATATGTGACGAAGCCTGAAACGCGTTCGTGGTTAGCTTTTATGGATTTATCAAGAAAATGGGATGGCTAAATATGAAGGAACAAGTTAAATCAATGTTTAGTTGATTTCGGTTCCACTAGATGGAGCTCTACCATCTAAAAAACACATGTGAGCGCGGTCAGGGTATGCCTATTTCGATATATATGCACCAAAAAAGGCACCTCTCCCTTTAAATATGCATTAAAACATTATGGTTAGCATCCTGATCGATTGCCCAGCATTTCAAGATTATAGAATGAAGAATGAACTAGTTGTTTGTGAACTTAACGATTTGATTTCCGATAAAAAATCATATTTAAAGTTCAATTCATTTTGTAAATACATTCTAAACTTTCTACAAAATCTGGATCTCTAATGTTTTCATGTGTTGAATAATGTAAATAACTTATGTAAATAAACTTTTCTCCTTGTTTGGCGCAAGTATCCCTTGCGGGATATAGCGCTTTGGAAATTAAATAATTGATAATTGATAATCCTAGTAAAAAAAAAGTACTAATGATGATAAGAAATGAGCCATAATACCAGTTTAGGAAAATTCAGACAAAGGCTAACCTGTATACCATGGTTTTTTTTGGTACATGAATATCATCCTCCAGCATACAACACTCTATGTTGTTATCACATATATATATTTACATACAAAATCCTAAAAGCCAAACGTTCCTCTATCACGATAAAACTGGGTTAAGAGATTTCAAGCCAAAGAGGCTTCTCCTTCCTCACTCGGCCCTAAATAATAAACAGAAATGTTCTTGAAATAAAAGATAGTTCGGACCTCTACTGGCCGAAATGTCTGTTATTCTTCTTTCTTATCTCCACACTGGGTGAAGTAGAATGCGTCTGCCTTTGTCATCAAGACTGGGAGCACTACTCAGTGGCAGGCCGACTTAGCTCCATAAGAAATGGCCGCCTCTGGCATGAGGAACAGACACCATGTGCAGCCGCTCCTAACATGGAGTACAAACGCTGCTCATCCTGTATCCCTGGATTAGGAGCTCTTACAGGGTACTATCAGCCGGGCCAGCTGAACCCAGGTTTTTTAGTGAGCTTGTTACTGCTCCCCCTCCTCCTTTTTCATCCGGGCTTGGGACCGGCAAAGGCGGAGTTTCTGTTATTCTAAAAAGACCGAATGCCGGTCACACAACCTCTATCTTCAAGATAAATGTAAAGGATCTGAATAAAATGATAAATTTGTATTTTTAATATCATCTTACAGCAACTTTATGTTGTTTCCTGTGATGGAAATCGGCTCTTTCCACTTAACCAGCTTAAATACCTTTTTTTGGTCGAATTTGACCGTCTTCATAACTCCTTTAGTAGGATGTTAATGAAATAGAAGCCGTCCCTGTACTGATGAGGGCCATATCCTGAAACCATGGTATACAGGTTGTTGGCTTTATGTCTGAATTTGTCTAAACTGGCGGTACATTCTTTATCACTACCATTCATTTTGTACTGGGGTAATAAGCAAAATGCATTGTTTTATTCATTTTAAAGGGAGAGGTACCTCTCTTTTAATATAACAGTATCAGAAATTTATGATAATATTGTAGCTATATATATATATATTTGTTCCATACAAGTATTTTCCATCTTGTAGCCTTGTAATTAGGAAAAAGTCCTGAATAAGAACCTTGTCTTGAAAGCTCGCCTTTTAAACGTACTAAATAAAGATACAAATAAGCGATAGAACTCTTCCTGTTTAGATAATCAAATAAAGTAAAACATGAAGGAAGATGAGTTTCTTTTTAATAAACGCGAGCGAGCTTTCGGACCACACACCCTTCTACTGGCAAAAAGGCTAAGAGATTCCAAGAGATACAAGCTTATTTATACTATGGTAGGCGAAATTTTAGCATATTTACATTTTTTATTATAGACGGAGAAACAATACAACTATGATTACAATTAAGATATGCAAAAATATAGGGAAAAGACAATGAGGCAAATTCTAAATCTAACGCATCAGGGGAGAACCGGGATATCACTATGAAGGGAGGACAGTAAAACATCAGGATAAGAATACTTTATAAATATCTGGTATGTCTATTTTCCTATTAAAACTATTCAGCTTGGCATACACTTATTACACAAGATACACTTATTTAAAAAAAAGAGAGATTTTTTAGATAAATTATAATACTCTTTATATTACGTATATCATAGTACAAAAACTAGGTAAAAAATGTAAATTATTTTAAACAAAATGTTTTCAATGTTTATATTTTATATCACACAATATCACAAAGTTATATAGATGAGTATCAATTTAAGGATCAGAATTTGAAGGTAAAAAAAAAGTGATGATTATTTTTTAAACCAAGCTAATGGTTAGGGCGTAATTATAATTCTGATAGTTGACAGTTTGACAATAGTCGGCTGATCGTCTGATAAGTGATGGGGAGGATTTCGTCTGATGGGGAAATGTCTCGTCTGCCTGCTATAATGATTATCTTCTGCTAGGATTATCACATCGGGGATTGTTCTTCTTCTTTCTTTTTTTTTGTCTAAAATATATATGTTATATTAAAATTTTATTTTATTTAAAATTATATTTCATAGATTCAAATACTCTGCTAAATCGACCGCTAGAGGTCACGCTTCCCCTATAAAAACTCATTGTTGTTGTTTCCCGATGGCCGGCTCAAACCTTTTGTACATTATGTAAATAAGTTTTTCATTTTTTTTTGTTCTTACGCCTTAAGCCAGGCAGTACTTTTATCAAATTATGTTTTTAATATATTTCTTTAGTTCAATTAAAGCAATTACTGATCAAAACCATTTTTATTATTATACTTTCAAGATTTTTGCCACGACTGCATTACCAATACTATTGACCTAATACTAATGTATTCCAAAATATATCAAATCTCAAGATCATAATCTCAATCTTAAAGATAATCAAAATCAGCAGAAAATATTTTTATTTATAACATATATACATAATATCTCTCTTCTTTTCATATATATATGTTATATTGAGATATTTTAATATAACATTTAAAATAATATTTTAATATAACATTTTTAAATAAAATATTTCAATATAACATATATATATATATAGTGTAAAAACTATATAATAAAAATATAATAGTGATTCTATATTTAAAATTTAAAGAGTAAACTGAT